AGGTTAAGGAGGTAGGCGGCGTGTAGGAGGGCATAGCCCCAGAGCGAGGGTGGGCAGGAGGCATGGACAAGGAGACACCGAGCAATCTTGGTGAGCTCCCGGACCTTGCTTTCTGCCACGCCATTCTGTTGGGGGGAGTGGGGAAGGGTGTACGTGTAGCGGATGCCGTGGGTGGTGCAATAGATAAAGAGGGTGTGATTAAGGAACTCGCCTCCGCCGTCCGAGTGGAGGCGGCGGACAGGTCGTCCGGAGTGGGTTCGTGCCTGCTCGGCGCAGGCGATGATGGCAGCCGGGGCCTCGGCCTTAGTGCGAAGTAGTTTGGCCGAGGTGTACCAACTGTGATCATCCACTAGGAGGAGCAGGTAGCGGTGACCTTGGCGAGTGGGAGTCGGGTTGGGGCCCCAGAGGTTTGCGTGGACCAGGTCGATGGGGGCAGGGGAAAAGGTAGGATTGCTTTTGTGAGGGCTTTGTTTGAGCTTGCTTTGCGTGCAGGTGAGACATGGAGGGGCGGGGGAGGGAGGGAGGGGGGGAAGTGTGAGGGGGAGACCAAGGAGGAGACGTGAGGCAATGGATTTGTGGAGGGTGGCAAAGTTTTGGTGTCCAAGGCGGTGGTGGAGAAGGACAGTGGGATGGGAAAGGTCACGGCAGTGACATTGGGAAGGTAGAGGGTCGGGGGGAGGTTGGAGAGGTGGGTTAGGAGGAGAGACGGGGAAGAGGGGGGATGTGATTGAAAGCGTGACAGTGGGAGGGGCGGAGGGCCTTTAATGTGAACATCCGGGTGGAGGGGCAGAGGGGAACACGGGAAATGAGTTTACTAGTGCGTGTGTGATAGAGGTCACAGTGGGAAGAAAAACCTGGATAGACTGTGGTGACGCCGACTTTTTGAGGAGCGTGTTGGGAGACTAGGTTAGTGCGGAGGGATGGGATATGAAGTCCTGTGACGGTACCTGAGGGAAAGAGGGCGCATGGAAGAGTGGAGGCATGGTGACTGAGGACGGAAAAGCTGGAGTCGGCACCTAGGATGGTGGAGGGGACGGGGAGGCGGGTTAGAGAACCTGCGTCTCGTAAGACGGTGTCAATTGCACCACGGTCAATGACAAATTCAATGGTGGGGGGCGTGGAGTACTGGAACGAGTTGGTATTAATAGCATCAGCATACACAGGAGTGGAAGCGGGAAAAGGAGGGGACTGAGTGACTTGACCGACAAAGCCAATAGACGGAAAAGGCAAGAAGCCTGGGGGAGTAGAGCTAGCAGGGTACTCAGCCAAGTGAGCTGCAGCGGCAGCAGTGCCATGTTCCCAATGAGCCGGCGGCTGGGGGGAAGGTGCTGAGGGAGGAGTGGTGGGGAGCTGGTAGTGTTGCTGGTACTGCAGCAGCAGGTGCTGCTGGGGGTGCTGCAGCAGTTGCGGCTGATATGGCTGGGGCGGCCAGGTGGGTTGCTGAAGCGGCGGATGCTGGTGGACATGCGGCTGTGGGGGGTAGGTGGAGGGTGGAGGAGTGGCAGAGGGCGGTAGCAGGTGCTGTACTTGCTGGAGGGCCTGAGGGGTCAGGTGCTGGGCGAGGACCTGGTGCAGATTGGAGGTGGAGGGGTGATAAGGGGGCAAGGTTTTTACTTCATAAGGAGTGGGGTGAGGGATGATAGTGGACCAGCGAGGAAGAGATCCGTGGTTGCCATGAGCAAACCACTCATCCGTGAGACATTTGAAGCAGGTGGCAGCAGAGTGAGTGGTCTGATTGCAGTGCTGACCTTTGAGGGAGCCATAGCGGATGAGGTACTGGCATGGGGGGAGGGTTCCAGAGGGGGAGGAGGGGGGAGTGCCAGAGCCGCCACCACGTCCGCCTCCTCGGCCACCACCGCGTCCGCCATTGCCGCGCCCTCCACCACGTCCGCCACCACGTCCTCCCCCTGTCTGGGCGGAATTGACTGAGGTGGTGGTATCGTTGAGGTCCGCCTCCATCTCAAGGATCCACTCGATTACTCGGGCGGATGTGGGTGGTTCACGGAGGGGAGTGGTGAAGGCAATCTTGTGGGTGGCATAGGCAGGGGTGAGGCCGTCGAGGAGGCGCCACATGACGACCGAGTCACTGATGGCGCCTCCTCGATCGTTGAGACGATTGGCTGTGTCTTTGAGGCAGCGGGTGAAAGTGGCGGCGTTAGGGCAGGAGTCAAGGGTGATAGCGTGGAATTCACGGTGTAGGGCAAGGAGGGAACGCAGGTCCTGGCGGTCATAATCATGAGTGAGCTGGTTCCAAAGGAGAGCAGCATTGGAGGGACGGAGCGCACGCTTAAGAGAATCGGGAATACTTGCGAGGAGGAGATTGAGAGATTTCATGTGAGCAACGCGCCAGTCGGCAAATCGAGCGTTGTACTCACTGGTCTCAGTAGCGTACCGAGCGGCGGCGGCTTCTTTCACCTGACGCTGGTTGGAGCTGTAAGTGCAGCTTTGTAGGCCTTGTGCTGGACAACGTATGCGTGATGCTCCTGGGTGTAGGCGTTCATGGCGCGCGCCCATCGGTCCGGGTTGTCGATGTAGGCCGGTACGCGGGGCGCAACAGGAGCCGGGCCTGGATGGGGGCTAGGAAGGACGGGGGGAAGGAGGGAGGGCTGAACCGGTGCTGTCGGTGCCCTTCCTTCCGGTTTGCTGAAGACGATGTCAGAAAGGTAGTAACCGTTGATGACGGTGGAGATGAGGAGAGTGTGGAGGCTTTGTGCTAAAGAATGTCAATTGACTGGAGTGGTGCCGTTGCGAAGGTCAAGACGGTCGATGGAGCTCATGTCGATGGTGGGTGTATCGGCCGCCATGGTGTGAGTGTAGTAGAGGAGGAGGTGGGGCAGCGGCGATGGAGGTGGTGCAGCGGGGGAGGAGGTGGTGCAGCGGGGGAGGAGGTGGTGCAGCGGTGGAGGTGGTGCAGTGGCGGACGGAGGAGGTGCAGTGGCGGAGGAAATGGGCAGCGACGGAGAAGGTGGTGCAGCGGGGGAGGAGGTGGTGCAGCGGTGAAGGAGGTGGTGCAGCGGCGGACGGAGGAGGTGCAGCGGTGGACGGAGGTGGCGCAGTGGCGGAGGAAGTGGGGCAGCGGCGGAGAAGGCGGTGCAGCGGGGGAGGAGGTGGTGCAGCGGTGAAGGAGGTGGTGCAGCGGCGGACGGGGGTGGTGCAGCGGCGGACGGAGGTGGTGCAGCGGCGGACGGAGGTGGTGCAGCGGCGGACGGAGGCGGGTCAGCGGGGGAGGAGGTGCGGCAGCGGGGGAAGGAGGTGTGGCAGCGGGGGAGGAGGTGCGGAGGTGCAGCAGCGGCGGATGGCGAGCAGCTGTGGCGGAGCTGGTGGCGAGCGGTGGCGATTAAGGCAGCGGCGGCGTCGAAGGCAGCGGTGGCGACGAAGGGAGCGAGCGCAGCGACGGGAGGGACGGACGTGACCGTTCCGACCGAGGAAGGGGCGCGAGAGCGCGCAGGCGCAGGTGACGCCAAGCGAGGGATGGGAGCGCGGAGTGCGCTGGCGCGAAGTGCGCTGGCATGGAAATCCGCCGCGACGAAATTTTCAGCAGCGAAATTCGTCGCGCGGAATGCGGGCTGAGAGAGCGGGGAAGGGGCGCGATGACGCGCAGGCGCGGTGGGCGCCGAGCAAAGAATGGGGAGGTAAGCGTGGTTGGCGCGTGGAGGAAATTCGTCGTGACGAATTCTGCCGCGACGAAATTTCGCGCAGAGGCGAAATGCGCTTGAGCGCAGCGCAAAATGCGCGGGAGCGGGGGAGGAGGGCACAGCGCGAAATGTGCTTTGGGAGGTGCGGGAAGCGGGGAGCTAGGAGCTCTTAGCGTGATTTGCGCTAGTTGGTTGCAAGTAGGGTTGAGCAAACTACCCGCCCGGGTCGGGTACCCGGTACCCGGACCCGCTTTTAGGGCGGGTCGGGTATCGGAAATCCTGAAAATTACCCGGCGGGTCGGGTCCGGGTTACCCGGGCTGGGTATCAATACCCGCTACTCGAAATGCTACCCGACGTGTCGGGTACCGGGTACCCGACCCGGTCGGGTAAAATATACCTGAGGTCGGGTATTCCACCTAGACATGGGCGTCAGTCGCGCTGTGTTTTAGGTTTTGCGGCAAAACGGTTTTGGAGGTGAGGGGGGACGAGTGGAGCATTTGTGAGGAGAAGTTGGAGCTTGTAGATGGGGAGGAGTTAAGTGCGGTGAAAGGGAGGGAGTTGGGTGGGAGTTGGAGAAGTGGTTGGAGTTTGTAGATGGGTAGGAGTTCAGTGCGGTGAAAGGGAGGGAGTTTTGTTGGAAATGTTGGAGTTTGTAGACAGGGAGGAGTTCAGTGCGGTGAAAGGGAGGGAGTTTGGTTGGAAATTGGAGTTTGTAGACGGGGAGGAGTTCAGTGCGGTGAAAGGGAGGGAGTTGGGTGGTCAAAATTCGACCCCCAGAAAACGCGACTCTCATTTGAGAGTCGCGTTTTCAGGAACCCTACCTAGCCTAGCCCAACTTTAGGATGTCTACAAGTAGGTGGCGGGTAGTATTACCCGCTTTTCAGGGAAACCGGGTCGGGTATACCCGGACCCGCCAGGCGGGTATTGTATTACCCGCCCCCTAAGGCCGGATCCGGGTAAGGGTCCTGGGCTTATTACCCGACCCGGACCCGACCCGAAATTACCCGACCCGAGGTCGGGTATTGCAAAACCGGGTCGGGTCGGGTAATTACCCGGTTTTGCTCAAGCCTAGTTGCAAGGTGCAAAAAAACGGTGGTCGTTTTAAACGGGCCGTATAATACGATAGTTTTTTATGGCATTTTTGGAAACAAAAACGCCGTTTTTTTGTTTGAGAAAACTTGTTAAAAAAAACCTTCTTTTTCGACTTGACAAGCACAAGACACTCCCTGAGACCTCTAGCCGTCAAGGCGCCCACAGATTCGCACTACAATGCAATGACCAGAGCTCTAACACCATACGTCTTCCTCTAACTAGCACCTACCCTCCCCCTACTCCTCTTCCCAGTCCTCGGCCTCCTCCTCCCCCTACTCCTCCTCCTACACCTCCACCTACCCTCCTCGTTCTACTTCTACTCCTCCTCCTCCATTTGGCATCCACTTCCTAATCCTCCTCTTCTTCCTCTTCTTCCTCCTCCTCCTCCCCCTCCTCCTCCTCCTCCTCCTCCTCCTCCTCCTCCTCCTCCTCCTCCTCCTCCTCCTCCTCCTCCTCCTCCTCCTCCTCCTCCTCCTCCTCCTCCTCCTCCTCCTCCTCTTCCTCTTCCTCCTCTTTCTCCTCTTCCTCGTCCTCAGCACGCTTCTCCTTGCCCTTTTTTCCCCCGCTGCTCCTCCTAGCTCACTTCCCTGCCCGGTTCTTCAAAGAGCTCTTCTTCTTATGCCCGGCCGAGCATCCAAACGTGCTCCAATCAATGGCGCACGCCACCGCATCCTGCCCTTCCTCCTGCTGCGCGACCTCGGGTTCCAATGGCATGCTGCAGCCTTCCTTCAGCTTTCCTGAAGCAAGGTCAGTGCACAGCTTGGCACGCGCCTCTTGCTGCTGGTCGAATGCTGACCTGGCACGCCTGCTGAAGGCGACCGAGGTCACATCGATCATAGTCTTGGCACTGAGGTTGTTACGGTCGCGCCGCTGAACTCGAGCCATGGCCGACCACCATCGCTCGACCTCTGACGACGTGATCGTCTGTGAGAGAATACTCACAGCCACCTCCTGCAGGTGGCGTACCTCCCCGCCGTAGATCAGCCACCACTCCGCCTCTGTCATTCTGCCGCTCTCCACCAGTGTGGATGCATTCCACCTTGCGTCCTTCCCCCCCAGTTTCCCCGCCCCCTTGTGGAAGGCCGCTAGCTGCGCTTGCAGCAGCGCCCGTCGTCCGGGGTCGTCCTCTCGTGCCTCCAACACGAGGTCAGCCCCTTTGCGGATCTCCGTGTCACCCCAAACATCATCCGAGAACTGGTTTAGGGGGCTCAAAAGCCACCCGAACGCTTGGAGGGGGTTGTGCAACTGCCCATCCCACCTCCTCCAGAAACCATTTTCGCGGAGGGAAGCTTGTATTGCTTCCCAAACGCGACAGTGGCGTTCACAAACGCCTGAAATGCCGGGGACCTGGTGGGAACGGGAAAGAGGATGTTAGCACAGTTCCAGACTTGGAGGCGGAATGCCTAAGACCAGGAGCCCACAAAGCTTGGCGGACATAACTGGGGGAAGGGTGGACGGGGAGGGACTCACTGGGAACAACGAAACGCCCAGTCGTTTTCCGCCACCGCCATCGCCCACAGGTATTCCAGTCGCTGCCGCCCTTGCTGGTCCGTCAGCTCGTGAATGTCGAGCTGACCGCCGCGCGGAGCCTGCGTCCCGTCGACGGTCGATGTGGAGCCCGGAATCGAAGCCGAGCAAGAAGAGGAGCGCGCTGCCTCACCCTTGGCGCGCAGATTCTGCGCGAATGCTGAGGTGCAGGCGGCGACGTTCTTCGCTTTTGCAGCAGGGGTGCCGAACATATGCTCCTGAATTTTTGTCGCATTGGCCGTCACTGGCAGGTGGCAGTGAATGCACTCCGTCTTCAAAAGCCGGCCCTAGTCATTATAAAATCGCTTCACGTGCTCCCACATGGGAGAAGGGGTGTGTGGCATGGGGGCTAAGCTACGACGGGCTCGCTTGTCCTGAAATTACGCACTCGTTGCGTGGGCGAATGACCAGGGAAGAAATCCGCTAGCTATTTAGCTTAGATCGATGCGGGAATTCAGACACGAGTACTCACCTCTGCAGATGTGCTCCACGTTTGTAAGTGAGCGACATGTGTGGAGTCGTCAGAGACGTTTGAGAAAGCGGAGGGGAGGGATGCAAATTGGCGGGGGGGTGGAATTTCCGCAATGCGTCGCTGTCGCATGCGTGTCGCACTGTGCGAAATATAACCCTTTTGCCGCGGATCTGTACACCACATCGTTGGCGAAGCGGGAGTATAATTCGCAACGATGTTGCGAACGGGGTTCAATGCGCGGCTCGCCAGTTCGTTTGATACGCGCCTCGGACACATTTCGCGACGACACGATTCCAAGTTCCAACATTTTGCACACAACGAATTCGACTCGGTAAGAAACATGGACCCGATATACGTCATCTACATGGTGGTGCAAAAAAAACGATCGAAAAAAACGATCGTATTTTTGCACTAGCACAAAAAAGCACACTATGACCGTTTTTAATCGTATAATACGGCCGAAACCTTCGGTACCGTACCATATGGTCAAATTTTGAAAAGAACGTCGTTTTTTTTTGCCTTGGTTGGTACTCCTTGGCGTGAGAGTCGAGCTAGGAGAGGGAGAGGAGCGAGAAAAAATCTGCCAAGGGAGGATCGAGCGGGGCGTGAGCCAAAAGCTGTGATAACCATGTTAGAAACCGTAGAGAGAAGACATTGACTATAGAGGGAGATGGTACAGGGTTATATACCTAGGGAGCAAATCCTAGGTCAAGAGGTGCTTGACCAACTCAACCATTATTCGTTGGACCAATGATGGTTGGAAGGGTTGGACCACCAATAATTGAGGAGCCAATAATGTTGGTGGAAGACCAACAAGATTGAACACCTCGGTAGCTTAGTTGCTACAAACGCTCTGGTAGACACGCGGTTAGCGTTCAAACGCAAGCGTTTGAACGCAAACGCCAAACGCACCCAAAAACGCAAACGCACTCTGGGATCTTTTTCGGGCTGCCCCCCCCAAAAAAACACGAGATTGTCGTTGGAGAATAGCCTTAAGGATATGTGATTTACATGACATATGAGGATGCTGGCTTAGATGTTACGCAGGGTTTCTTTTTTATGAGACAAAATGCTTGCTGGTAGAACCCCCATGTTTCCCCCCTCCCCCACAGGAATCTTGAACCCCTACCCGGGTAAAAAATTTACCCCTGCCCAGGCAAGCGTTTGCCTAGCGTTCACATACACACTGCCGAGCGTTTAGCGTTCAAACGCTAGCGTTCAAACGGCAAACGCGTTTGTAGCAACTAAGCTCGGTAGTTGGGGTCAAGGGTTGGTTGAATATCCAACCCCAACATGTATCTACACCCCTAGAAGCCCAGCTTGGTTATAGATACCCAAGTATGAGAAACTATGTAGGATAAAGAGAATGATATATTCTAACACCATGCTGGTTCAATCCGCCCCATACTCCCTCTCGCAACGTGCCATCACGCCGGGTCTCACTGTGGCAGTAGCACCCATCCTCCCATCCCCCACTCCTTAATTGCACCAGGTGAAGCTGCGAGGCGGAGTGCCGGCATGTACTGCATGTGGCGAGCATGGCGTCACCCACTGTGTCATCGCGCACACGCCCAGCCCCTCTCTCTCTCTCTTTCTGCCTTCACTCCATCCCCTGTGCCCGCGCCTGCCCGCTAGGTGAAGCTGCGCAGCCGGGTGCCGTCGTGCGCAGCGTGTGGCGAGCACAGCAGCATGACGCCTGACAGCATCCAGGAGTTTGACTACGAGGCATTCACCGCCTCGCCCTTCCACGACCAGGTACTGCTCATATCCACCATGTTCGTGCACCATGCACAATGCAACATGCACGATGCAACATCCACCATGCACCGTGCACCATGCAACATGCACGATGCAACATGCACCATGCAACATGCACCATGCAACATGCACCATGCAACCTGCACCATGCAGCATGCAACCTTCACCATGCACCATGCACCGTGCACGATGCAACATGCACCATGCACCATGCACCATGCACCATGCAAGATGCACCATGCACCATGCACCATGCTCCATGCACCATGCATCGTGCACCATGCAACATGCAACATGCACCATGCACCATGCACCATGCACAATGTACCATGCAACATGCACCATGCACCATGCAACATGTACCATGCTCCATGCACCATGCACCGTCCACCATGCACCATGCACCCACCATGCACCATGCACCATACAACATGCACCATGCAACATGCACCATGCACCATGCACCATGTGTTAGCTTATACCTTCGTCATTCTATTAGCCTACATCGTTTCATTGTCTTAGGTATTTATCAGCACCTCACTTGGGTGTATACACCCAAGTTGGAGGTTGGGTTCCCAACTTTGTTGGATTCCCAAATTGGATAGGGCTCCCAATTATTGGACCCCCAATAATCCCAACTGAGATTATTGGACCCTTCTCTCTCCTCACCTATGTATACCCCCTCCTTCTCTGATTCAATCACTTCAATTTCTCACATGGTTTCAGAGCTTATGGCTCACGCCTCTCCGTCGTTCGATCCCTAGCCACCTCGCGCCCATCGCGCCCCTCCCCACGCCCTCAAGTGCCCCTCCTCGCGCCTTTACGCTCCACTCCCTGCACCCTTAAGCGCCCCTCTCCGTGCCTTTAAGCGCCCCTCCTCGCGCCCTTAAGCGCCCCTCTCCGCGCCTTTAAGCGCCCCTCCCCGCGCCTTTAAGCGCCCCTCCCCGCGCCTTTAAGCCCCCCTCCCCGCGCCCATAAGCGCCCCTCCCCGCGCCCTTATCCGCCCCTTCCCGCGCCCTTAAGCGCCCCTCCTCGCGACCTTAGTCGCTGCGTTTTCGCGCAGCGCACTTGCCGCATTTCGACACAGCGCTCGGCTGCATTTCGACGCGGCACCGGGCCGCATTTCGACGCGGCGCCCGGCTGCATTTCAACGCGGCGCTCGGCTGCATTTCGACGCGGCGCCCGGCCGTATTTCGACGCGGTGCCCGGCCGCATTTCGACGCGGCGCCCAGCCGCATTTCGACGCAGCACCCGGCCGCATTTCGACGCGGCGCCTGGCCGCATTTCGACGCGGCGCCCGGCCGCATTTCGACGCGGCGCTCGGCCGCATTTCGATGCGGCGCTTGGCCGCATTTCAACTCGGCTCTCCGCCGCATCTCGATGCGGCCCTCCCGCCACATTTCGACACGCCTTCCACGCCTCACTCCGTCGCCTCCTCCCGCTTTGTGCAGTCACGGCGCCCTCGCCTAACAAGTGGGATTCGGCCGGGCTGACCTCTGTGCCGGCGCGCACCGCACGCAACTGCCCACAGCGACCGATCTTCGCCATCCGCGCCGGTCGTCGCCTTTCGTGTCGGCGCCCGCCGAAGGCTTCGTGTCGGCGCCCGCCCAAGAGCTGCGCTCCGCGCACCCGTCCTCTTTTCCTCCTCCCCTCCCCCCCTCCCCCTCTCTTCCCTCCTCCTCAGCAGCAGTCGCCTCCTCCCCCAACCTCCACCACCCACCCTCTCTCCCCTCAGCACCAGCAGCAGCAGCCGCATCAACCGCAGCAGCCACCTCCTACCTCCCCCTCCCACTCACCCTCACCTCTTCAGTTAGCAGCAGCAGCAGTCGCACCATGGCCACAGAACCACTTGTCGTTGACATCTTTACTATCGACGTCCTCGAGCTCATTGACGACGCCATTGGGCAGCCTTTTTGGCAACATGAGCATGCTGGAGGAGAGTGTATTCCGCCAAGTCCTTGTCATAATGGAGCGGCACGGGGGCCCATCGATCAGAATCATTGGTGTAGACCAGTGGGGAGGTCTTGGTGTCGAGCCAATGCCCTCTCCTTCATGCGTCGCCTCCTCACCACTGCCAGGCGCCTTGCTGATTGCTGCTCTCCTCTTCCCGACTCCCTCATCGTCTGTCGCCTCCTCGACGGCCTCATGCCAATGTACGACTCCCGTTGAGTCGCATTCAATGAAGTCCACGCCAACTTTCCACCAGACTCTACCACGGCAGCTGCCTTGATTCTGAAGATTGAAGCCGAGCTCCTCCATCAATCTCCCTCGACGGCTCATGCCGCCAAGGCAAAAGGCGGACGTGATGCTGGCCGCGGCGGCAGTTCGGCGGGACGCTCGGGCGTTGGCCGAGGTGGGGGGCACAGTGGAGGATGCGGGGGCAGCAGTGCATCAAGAAGCACCGGCGGCTTCTCCCCCTGTCAGTATCTCAATTTAACAGTTTAACAAGGGTAAGCGATGCCTCCAAACCAAGGCGCAAAAAAGCGGCGTTTTTTTCAAGATTTTGTCGTTTTAAACGACATCGTAAGATTCCGTCGTTTAAAACGATAAAAAGCGGTCAATGTGCCCTTTTTTGTTATGGTGCAAAAAAGCGATCGTTTTATACGATCGCTTTTTTTGTACCCAACAATTGAAAACGTATATCGCGTATGTTGGTTTGGCTGACTCGATTTTGGTGTCGCTCCAAAGTCAGATTCGACCTGACACAACTTTCCAACGAAACGCGACTCGGCGCCAATGTCGATCCGCGAATTGGATCCAATTCGCGAAGCCGGTGCGAACTGTACCCCACTGTCGCTAATGGCCTGGTGTACAGTTTCGCGCCTGAAAATGAGTTCGCGATGTACGCGACACATCGCGAACCTGACGTGTCGCAAATTTCCCAATCCCCCCAGAGGTGTGCACCCTTTCAAACGACTTCATCAAACGGCCTTCACGATTATTGTCGAGTTGAGCACATACAAATGTGGAGCACGACAGAACAGGTGAGTGCATCTCAAATTCCAGAGACTAAGAATCTTAGCTAGCTCAGTCAGTGGTAGCAGCACCGCCCAAGACCACATTTCCGCCATGCCGCGGACTCCTTCTCGCTTGTGGGAACACGTCACCCGCACGTTTGATGACGACGGTAAACTCGTTAGGGTCCAGTGTAATCACTGCACCCAAACCATGACGTCAAGCGCCACACGAATTCAGGAGCACCTTTTCGGTACCCCGGCCACGAAGTCAAAGAATATCGCCATGTGCACCTCCGAGCTCGCGCGGACGCTGCGCGAGAAGGGAAACACCGCCGGATCTTCGCGTAGCTCGGCCTCCACGTCGACGAGCGAGGCGACGACGTCCAAGGCACAAGTCCAGCTCGATATCCGTGCGATGTCGGATCAGGCTGGCAAGGAGCGTCTTGACCACTTGTGGGCCGTCGCGGTGGCCGAGAATGACTGGGCCTTCCGGTGTTCCCAGTGAGTAGTCCTCTCTCTATCGCCATTGATGCTCCCGCAACATTTCTTTCGCACCCGTTCCTCGCGTGGCACGCACAGCACTCCCCTCGCTCTAAGTCCCCGCCTTTTTCCACCCTCCAGGTCCAAAGCGACGCAGGCGTTCGTGAACGCGGCAGTGGCGTACGGGAAGCCGTACAAGCTACCCTCGGCATACAAGGTGTCGGGGCCCCTGCTCCAGAAGTTGAAGGCCGACACCTTCGAGTTGGTGTCGCCCCTCAAGGAGACTTGGAAGTCCGTCGGCTGCACCTTATCAGTCGACGGCTGGTCTTGCTTGAAGAGTCGCGCCATCGTATGCGTCATTGCGCAAAACGAGAGCGGCCCGGTGCTCGTCGATGTAGTGGACTCTAAGACCGCCAAGAAGGTAGGGTCTTACTTGGCGGCCTTGATCCGCAAGGCCATATGCGAAGTCGGCGACAAAGCCATTGTCCAGTGCGTGATGGACAATGCCAGCAACAATAAGAAAGCGTCCAGCCTTTTGAAGGAGGGCTTTCCGGCCATTTTTTTCACCAACTGCGCCGCTCATTGCCTAGACCTGATGCTGAGTGACATTGGGGGCATCCCCGTAGTGCAGAAGGTGCTAGCGGAGGCGCAGCGGGTAGTGATGATGGTTAAGAACAGTGCGAGCGCCGTCATTCTCTTTAGGGAGATTTTCAGCCAGCTCGAACTTGTCAAACCTGGAGCCACTCGTTTTGGAACCCAGGTGATAATGATCACCCGGTTCCTTGCTGTGAAGGAGTCTTTGTTGCGGCTGGTCATTAGTGAGGAGTGGAAGGGGGTAGCCGTCAGTGGGACAAAGGAGGGTCAGGAGATTCGGGCGATGCTGCTGGAGGAGAAGTTCTGGGAGTCCGTGAACGTTGTACTCCGGCTCATGCAGCCAGTGTACGACGTCCTTCGAGCAGTGGACACGCAAGCACTGCTGATGGCCAAGATCTATGGCCTCATGGTCGAGGCCACGGTCAAGATCAACGAGGCGGCTAGTGCTGCGGGTAAGTCATCCGCTTTTGTCCCCCTCCCAGCTTTCTTCTCTGTCCTTTGCATGCTGGGCTGGATCCCCTTCCCGAATCCCCGCTCTCTCTCCACCCAATCCCCATTTCCACAGCTACTTTCTTCATTAAGAAGACCGAGCTGATGGAAGGGAAGGACAGAGCCGCCTTCTTGGCTAGCGTGAAGAAGATTATTGCAAAGAGGTGGGACGCTCAGCTGCACAACCCCCTCCATGCTATGGGGTGGCTGCTGAGCCCCCTCAACCAATTTGCTGACGAGGTGTGGGGCGACACAGAGCTCCGCAAAGGGGTTGACGCCGTGCTCAAGGCACGTGAGTCTGACCCCGGACGGCGCACCATGCTGCAAGCACAGCTGCAGTCATTCCACAAGGGGGAGGGGAAGTTGGGGGGGAAGGACGCGAGGTGGGCGGCTTCCGCTCTGGTCCAGTGCGGAAGGATGTCGGAGGCCGAATGGTGGCTCATCCACGCAGAGGAGGTGCGCCAGCTGCAGGAGCTT